TTTGCATTTCATGAACATCAAAGCAGTAAGCAATCTCTTCATTATCAATTTGACCACAGTACTTATTAAAAGGGGGCAAAGTTTCAAAAATAAAGGTACATAATAAAAATGAGGGGAATGATACAAAAAAAGAGAAATAGGAGGGAAGACTTCGTGTTAATTACAATATCATCAGCAGTACTTAATTTTTAAAAACTCCACTAGATTAGAAATAGTCTCTACAAGACCTTGCCCAGTTTAAAATTCTCAGATTCTACACAGGTAGTTTACAAATATCTAATTTCATAGGCATGGCTGCCTAAGTTCCCATGTAAAAATAAAACAACAATCAAATTAGGTGTTTTTCCTATCCAATTTGTTACTGTGTTTCCACAAACAAAAGGAATTGGCTAAAGATTGACAAGGTTGTTCATGTTTCTAAATTAATTCTTTGGTTTATGAGGAAATGCAATCCTAAAGTCTATAAAAAGGGGGGAAAAAAAGCAAATGTAAGTAAGGAGCCATCGCTTTAGACTTTGTGTCCCAAGATATGTCAGTTATTGTCTGATTTGTTGTTGCTGTTTCCTTTCAATGAAAACTCACCATCCAGAATGCCGAGGGCAGCCGTAGTTAATTCATTTTATTCCCTGTTCGTTTTCTTGTGTCAATACAGAAGACTGGTTAAGGGAACAGAGTTAGGAGTCAGACATCCCTGAGTTTGTATCCTGACTTCACTGAGTATCAGCTGTGTGATCATGGGCAAGTTATTAAACCTCTCTGAGACTGGGTCCTCTCATCTGTAAAATAAGAATAATAATAAACTGCCTCAAAGTACTGGAAAGAATAAGTGAGATGAGTAGGAAGTATTTAGCACCATGTCTCATCCAGTGTTGCTGCCAAGTATTTTTCTATTTCCAAAATAATCATCTTACAATGTGTATTTTTTAAGCACCTCCTCTATGACAGCTTTTTCCTTTAACATGGATTATTTCTGACTCTCACAGCAACACTGGAAGCAGTAGGGGAGCAGTCTCATTTCACAGCTGGGGAAACTGTGGCTCAGAGAGGTGAAGCGGCCTGCCTGAGGTCACACAGTGAATGACTGGACTGAACAGAAGTCAAACATCAAAGCCTGTGCTCTTTCTACCAGACTGCGGTGGGGCTCTCTGGGACACACAGGGCTATGGCATTGTGGGACAAAGAAAGACGAGGCCAAGCAGCTTTGGAGGTCTCCAAACCTCACGGTTTAGAATAAATCCCCCAATTATGCTTGAAGTTGGACAAGCTTTTGAAATCTCAACTGGACATTCTTTTCCCATCAAGTTCCTTGAAATTTCCCTTTAAAGAGCATCTAGGAAAAGCCACTCTCATTAGCCAGGGTCTGGCTTTATTTTCCTAATAAACAGACCTTTAGTCAGACAAAAGAGCCTCTTTTATTTTCAATCAATTCTTCAACATTTCAGCTGGTTTTCTTCTATTTGGCTTGAAATTGTGATCTGGGAATGGCTGGTCCTGCAAATTGTCCTCCTATGAGGGAAGCCCCTTGAGGATCCTCAACTTGTTATTTTTAATCACTGTAATCTCCTTGTCAAAGGAGGCCATGGTCAGAAACAGAGCAGGCCTTTCAGAGCTTTTCTAAAGCACAATTATTACTAAGGGAAGGGGACAGGGGGAAGAGGGAGGGAGGGGAGAGAGAAGCGGTGGGAGAGAGAAGGAAGTCAATATAGTACTAGCAACTTGGAAAAGGCTGAATAATAATCTCAATTGGATTCTGGCTGTTGAGAAGAAAGCCCATGATATATGTATGTATATATATACATGTATATGTACATACACACACATATATGTATATATACATATATTACACACACGTATATATACATACATACACATACATATACAGTGACCATTATAATCCAGTGTAGAATACCTAAAGGAGATACTGGGGTCGGGGGTGGGGGGCATGGAGAGCAGAAGCTACTCAGGGATGAATTGGAATTCTGGGGACAAAGATTCCCGGCAGGAAAACAAGCCATTGATCCCAAGGCTTGTAAGGGGGCTCTAACTCAAGAAAAAATGAAAAAGCAAGCAGAACACCAGGGGAATGTTAACTTCCACGGCCCTAAGTCAAAACCCCGAACAGAATGCATTAGATTTACTTTTAACACGATTATTCTAAGAAAGCATAAGCCAATGGAAAATGTCACAAACTAGGCCAGCGCCTTTTTCTTCCTAACTTTGAGTGGCGGAACCAGGTTTGCTAACCTCAGAGTATTTAGTTAGAAGGCCGGGAGAATTGGTTTCCGCAACATCTTCCTTTCAAGATCTCTTGGCCACCACAAGGGAGAAACAGGGATTGCCAGCCAACAGCCTGAGTGGGGGTGTCACACGGTTGGGTCCAAAAGTCTAATGTGTAGGCGGGAACAACCTATAGGGTGAAAGTCTAGAGCTCTCTCACCCCTGGTCTCTGTTCTCACCTACTGGCCACGGAACTCTGGCCGTAGGAACCCCTCTGTTGTGAGTACCAGGTGCCCCTCCTTCCCAGTGCTGGGGTACCTGCAGCCCGTGCTCAGGCCAACAGGGAGGATTCAAATGGGAAGAAATGCCAGGGAGGATACTTGGGGGAGGGATGCAGATTTGTCTAAATCATTGAAAAATAACCTCTTGGGTGCATAGTAAGAACAATCTTAGGTAAGGTTTCCATTATGGAGAAATCCTTCATTCACTCATTCAGTTAATTCATGAGGACTCAGATAGCCACCATTCACTAGTAGACTGAACTAGAGTACTGAGAATACCATTTTTTTCAAAATATTTTTATTTATTTCTAGGAGAGAGAGAGAGAGAAACAGCGTGAGCAGGGGAGTGTCAGAGAGAGAGGGAGTCACAGACTCCGAAACAGGCTCCAGGCTCTGAGCTGTCAGTCAGCACAGAGCCGATGCGGGGCTTGAACCCACGAACCGCGAGATCATGACCTAAGCCAAAGTCGGACGCTTAACCGACTAAGCCACCCAGGCGCCCCCTGAGAATACCATTTTTAAACACACACACACACACACACACACACACACACACACACCAAAAACAAATAATTAAGGAGGTATATCCCTCCGTTATTACACCAATAAGGGGCTCATATCCAACTCAAACTAACACGTATTGAAAACCTCGGGCAAACTCGTCTTTGTCAACTCACATATTCGCTACAGCCACCACAGAGGTTGGATACATAGCTACTTACGCGGCTGGGAAATAAGCTCAGAGAAATTAAAAGACTTGCATAAGGTCACACAGCTACTGAAGTCAAGTCCATCTGACTCTAAAGCCGCCTCTGTCCCTGCCACGTGGAGCTTGGGCTGTGTTCCCAGGGAACCCGGGTCCTCGGTTTTGGTGAGGCCTCCTCCCTCAAGAGACCCAGAGGGTTCCGCCCGCCTCCCTCCAGTCTACGGAGAGGACAGGCTGCTCCCAGCTCCTCGGAAAGGCTGTGGCCGCACCGGCAGCCCCCCACCCCCACCCCCACCCCCGGTCCCTCCCGGGCTGGCCCGGGGGTTCCTTCCCGGGTCCCGCGGGCCGGCGCACGGGGGTCACAGGGGGCTCCTCGCCACCCGCTGAGCGCCGCTGCGTGCGGGGGGCGCCAGGAAGCTAGGTGGACAAAGTCGGGGACACGCCCGGGAGCAGCATTCTGAGAAGGGTAGCCCCTGCTTACGGTGGCCTGCGTGGCCCGGGCGCCCGCTGACAGTGGCCCAAACTTTCTCCAGTGTTCTCCAACCGCTTCCTCCCGCAGCCTCTGGGCACCCGGAAGGCGGGGGTGCAAGGGCGGCGGCTGCGGGCCCACCAGCTGTCCCCCAAGACCCTCGCTTCCCTGCCAGGCACCGGAGCTGACTTACGAAGGGGCGGGAGAACAAGCACCCCGTCACTCCCCTCCCGCGGGGCCCCAGGTGAGACCCGGCAGGCTTCCTTCCCTGCCCTAGGTCCGGTCTCCCAACTGGAGCACGGCAGCTGCTGCGCCTGGAAAAGATGTCTGGGGAGACGATCAGCCGCGGAGAGAGGCGGTGGGCCGCGGGGATGGAGTCGGGGTCTTCAGGTCTGCGCGGGCCGAGCGGCGCTCCTGCCGGGGAGGCGCTCACCTGCCTGGGCATCCGCTCCCCGCGCTGCCTACAGCCCGAACTCAGCGGAGGAGCGTAGGCGCGACATCCAAACCGCGGAGAGCCTCGGGGTGGCTGGAGCAGGGGCCCCCCGCCTCGAGGGAGCAGGCCTCGGGAATACGAGCTTCCCTTTCCGACTTCGCCAGGTTTCCCTTCCCCCTCCGAACCTACCCACAGCTCCTCGGAGGCCGGTTCCATTGGGAGCCGGCCCTAAAAATCCACACCCTTCTCCCTCGCCTGGGACCATCGGAGAATAATATGGAGTTCTTTCCGGGGACCCTTACGAAAGCTTCAGACTCTTCCTGCCCTCCTCCCCGTGCCCTGCGACCGGTCAAGGGGGAAGTCGAAGTCCCTTTTCCTGAAGACCTGTGTCCAAGGAAACTGGGAGTGACCATCCCGCCTGGGGCCCGTCTGGGAGAAGCTGGTATCCTCCCCTTCAGGGATGGGAGAGGGGAAAGTCAGTTTCCCACCTTGCCTGGGACCCGACTGGGAGGCACCAGGCTTTCCTCCGCCCCAGGGGTGGCTTTGGAGGAAGGCGGGTTTCCACTGCTCTCCCGGAGCGGGCCGGGGAGAAGCCAGGTTCCCTCCCAGCCAGGCTGGCGTGGCGCGTCGCTCAGCTGCAGCCCACGCCCGGCAACCGCGTCGGAGAAGGGGCTGCCGGCCTGGCTGCGGCCCCCGCGACGGCCCCGGACGCTGGCCCGGGAGCGGCGCCGAGCTCGCGGAGAGAGGGGCTGAGGGCAGCCAGGACGCAGGGCCCTTGCCGGGCTTGCCGGCACCGTGCGCCCCGGGACCGTGCGCCCTCCTCCGGCACCGCGGGGTCGGCGCCCTTCCGGGGGCCGGGTCCCGCGCCCCCCAGCGCCACGCCGGGCCACTTACCACGGTAGCTGATTCCCGGCTTGTAGAAGTCGGGGTCGCCCTCCACGCGGAGGCTGAACTCGGTGTAGCCCTCGCGCCGCGTTCCCTGGGCGCGCAGGATGCGGCTGCAGTAGCCCTCCGACTTGGGCACTTTGTCCAGGGTCTCGTCGGAGAAGGCCAGCGCCGCGGCCAGGGGCAGTGCCAGGGCCAGCAGCGCCGGACTCCGGCTCAGCCTCGGGGGCGCCGGGGACAGCCTCATCCTCGCGGGCGTCCAACTTTGTGCCCCTGCCGCCGGCCCTCGCCACGCGACTCCTGCCCGAAGGGGTCCCCGTGGAAGCGAGACCAGGCGGAGCGCGGGCGGGGAGCGGGAGCTCGGAGCCGCCGACCAGGATTCCGTGCGGGTCTCGGCTTGGCGGCTGCGGAGCTGCGCCGCGCTGAGCTGAGCTGAGCTGAGCTGAGCGAGCAGAGCTGCGCGAGGAAGGGAGGGCGGCGGCGAAGGGGGAGGAGGGCGGGCTGATTTTGCCCAGATCCGCGAGCGCAGCGCTGTTTTGTTTCCGAGCTGGCGATTAGCGGGCGCGGCGGTGTTTATTTTGCGACGCTGGATTCCCAGGGTCGGGCAAAGAAATCATAAGGCACAGGGACACTGCGGGATTTGTCCCGCCGCCGCCGAGGAGGCTGCCGCCCCCAACCCAGCTACACCTTTGCACCCTGCGGAGTGGAGTCCTCCAAGGAGGGAAAGACTGCAAAGTAACTTTTGTTGCACACCTACTTTGTGCCTCCCGATATGCTGGGTGGTTGGCTTAGGGTATCTGCTCACCTTCTCCACTCTCCCTGCACATTGCAAGCGTGACATTACTTTCACTCATTTTACAGATGAGCACACTGAGGCCTGCAGCTGAACAGTTAAGGCGGGGTCTGATGCCATGACTTTCTGACTCTATTGCTCTTTTGGAACAGGTCAGACTGGAGGATGAGAAAGGAGCAGAATGACTCACCCATCTGCGCCCAGTAGGCACCGTGCCTACAGCCTGTAATATTTTTGGAGACTCCTGAAAATATTTTCCTTAAAATCAGAAGGAAAAATCATTTAGGTCTAATAAAATGTTATGTATAATAGCAATGTATTTCTGTTTACACCTACACAGTCATAAAACATAACGTTTACTGTTGTTTTATGAAGGAAGGAGACCCCAAGGACAGAAGAGCCTAAGGCCCAGGAAAGTCCTCATCTAGGCCTCGAAAGAGTTTCAAATGGTTCAAAGAAGAGCCTGTGTTTTCTTGGCTTAGATTTTAGTCCCCAGTGACCAATTTTTAGAGAGGAACTGAGCCTGAGGCATCAGGAAAAGGCCCAGGTGTGGAAATCTCTCCCAGTGTTTCCCTGGAGACAAACTTGAATCAAACCTTAGTTATGCCACTCTCCCACTGTGAGATGTTGGCCAGATATCTTGCCTCTCCAGCCTCCAGTTTCTTGCTCTTGGTGGGAGCGTGTGTGTGCCTACAGGCTAATACACCCTTCGTCTAGGGGGTACTAGAGGCCAATCAAATGACCCATATAAAACACCTGGTAGGGGCGCCCAGGTGGCTGAGTCGGGGAAGCCAAGCATTGGGCTCAGGTCATGATCTCACAGTTCATGGATTCCAGCCTTGTGTTGGGCTCGACAGCTCAGAGCCTGGAGCCTACTTCAGATTCTGTGTCTTCCTCTCTCTGCTCCTCCCCCACTCGCACTCTGTCTCTCTCCCTCTCTCAAAAATAAACATTAAAAAAATTTTAAAACACCTGGCCTAGCCTTCAGCCCCTCCCCTCTCCTCCTCAAGGGGTGGGTGTGGGCTGGTCCTGGGTACCACAGCAAGGAAGACCAAACCACCTGGAAGATGCCTTAAGCCCGCTGCCTCCCTCAGCGTGTGCAAGCATTCCTCCGCAGGTGCTTTCAGAAGTTTCGGCCACCTCTCCTCCTCTCCCTGGGCAGTCAACATATCTTAACAGCCTACAATTAAAAAGCAATCTCCTCTGCTTTCCACGTCAAGTTTTCCTCTTTGACATCACTAACAAGCAGCCCAGAGGAGCCATCCGCGTTGGAGGTCTCCATTCCTCTGCACCTGCCTACTTACTTTTCAGTCCTTGTCCTGGGGCTCCCACTGCCATTATTAACTGGGCACCCTCTCTCAGAAGTCACCCAAGAGTGCTCCCTTGCTGAAGCCAATTATGCTCTCTTCTCAGTCCTGACCTTCCCTGACCCCCAGCAACACTTGATCCAGCTCGCTAGCCCTCCTTTATAGAGGTGATGTTCAGATTCACATCTGTGTCCTGAGTGACCTGTCTCCCATATTACAAGCTCAGAGCTCCTGCTAGATTCCAAGGTGCAGTCTAAGTCATCCAGCATCCTTTTGTTTAGGGTAGACTTGAGGCCAAGTCTGTGCTGAGCAGTGGGCACCACAGGGAACAAAATTTCATTCATTCATTCATTCATTCATTCATTCATGTTGAAGGCCCTCCATGTGCTCAGTGCTGTGACACAAAACAGACGTATTACCTGTCTTTGTGGATCTTACAATCCAGTGGGAAAAGCAAATATTAAATACATAGTTACAGAATCTTTTCAAATTATGATTGTGATATACACTACAAACTAAAAAAGTGTTTTGTGAGATTTTATCTCAGAGGACAGGAATGCCTATACAGAGATGAATCAAATGTGGCTCCTGTCTTTACAGATCTTACTATATGTCCAGTAACTCAAATATGTACTCTTGAATGTCTTTTCTTCTATATCAACATATTAAAATCCAACATGGAGGTGGACGAGTAAGGGGAAGAGGCAGGAATGTAAAAGTTAATTTTTTATTAAACATTGACAGGAAAACCATGTCAGGTAGGAGCTGCAGGTACCCTCCCACCTCATTTCCCAAATTAGGAGCCTATACAATCACCGGTCCAGGTGCTACAGCTAGGAAGGAGAAAAGAAACAAGATTCAAAACAGGCCTTGCTGACACTAAAATGGGCTTCCTCCCACTTCACGGTGTCAACCTCATCATCTGGGCTATGACAGCAGGTTCTAGGCAGCCCATCATCAAACCCCAATGCCACTACCCAAGCCAGACTTCCCCAGCCCAGCTCTGCTGTCACATCAGACCCCTGTTCTCTCCCCACAGGTTCGATCCATCACCAAGTTTCACCTTCTAACTACCTCTTGAATCTGGCCACTTCTCTCCATCTCCTCTGCCACCACGCCACTCAGAATTGTCACCATACCTCGGCCTCCTAATTGGGCTGCCCATGTCCATTCCTGTTCCCCTCCAATATGCCATCTGCACTGAGGCCTGAAGGATCCTTTTGCAAATGCAGATTTGAATGTCAATCCCAAGGTTAAAATCCCTTTTCGGTGGCTTTTTGTGGCTCTCGGAACAAAGACCAGAATCTTCAACATGGCCTCCAATGCCCTCCTGAATCTACCTCCTGGGCCATATATCCCTTCGGTCATGGGCTCTAGCCCCGAGGGCTGTTCAGTGCTGTGAGCTTGTGCCTGTGCCCTCCTCCTTGCCTGACATCCAATGCTCTGTAGTCTCTCCCAATCACCACCCTCCCTAGCCAACCCCTAAGCATCTCTCAGATCTCAGAGCAAAACTGCTTCCTCAAAGAAGTCCTTCCTGATTTCCTATTTATACATTCCCGTTTACATGCTCTCCTGGAACCTAAAATATTTTTCTCTTAATATTCTCAAGATTTCTAAATCTATGTTCATTTTTATGTTTGATCTTTACATTTTGTATTTATTCGATGTCTGATTCCATCACTAGATTCCAAGCTCCGTCAGGGAAGGGACTGTCTCTGTGTCTCACCACCACATTCTCGATGCACATCATATGCTATGAATAAAAAGTCTTTATCAGGCTCCTAGTGCTCTTTGCCTCACCCCAGTTCTTCAGGTGACCTTCAAGGCCCTCCGTGATCTGGTTGTAGATCCCAGCCTGAGCTCCCATTGCTGCCCAGCTGGGTTCCCTGTGTCCCCCACTTTCAGTCCTGCCTCGACACCTTTGCCAATAGCTTTCCCATCACCTAGAACGCCTTCCCTCCTGTGATCCATTTAAATTCTCCTCTCTTCCATGGAATGAGATCGCACATTCTCTCCTCTGGACTTCAGTAGAACTTAGGGGGAGAACGTTTCTTATTTTGACTATTGTGTTCTGGTGGATTGTCATGAACTTTTTCGTGTGTCTGTGTCTCATCTCTTCGCAATGAATCCAGTTTACTTTCTATTTAATTTCCTGTTCAGATGTTTTGTTCTGTTGTAAAATACACTGGACTTCAAGAAATCTCTTTCCAGTTTTGTAGCCTAAGGCAGAGCTGATGTTAGTTGCTAAGGTGTTGCTAGGGAAAGTCATTTAGCCAGGGCAGATAATTAACTTTATCAGTGTGTGTGGGTAAGTCACAGAAAAGAAGAGCTGGGGGCCCTTCTTATCCAAGGGGGGAAAAATTCCTTTGATTGGTAAGAGGTGAGATCAGCCTTTTTTTTTACCCCCTTTAAGAGAGAAGGGAAAAAAAGAGTTTCTAGATTAGTGTTTTTCTGAGTATGGTCATTGAAACACAAGCATGAGATGTTTGCCTCAAAAGCAGACTCCAAAATCCCACACCAGACCTATTGCACCTGCACTTTGAACAAGTTCAAATCAAAGTTTAGGAAACAACTACCTCAAGAGCTCGTAATACAGACTTGAAATGCAAGGGTTCTAGTCCGGCTTTCCCATGTTTAGGCCATTCGAAGACGAGTGGTCTCAGCATCACAGGACCAGTCGAAACTATTTTCGGTGTACAAAACTGAAAATAGTAATACCCGTTTTGCCCTTGCCCCAGGGTTTAGAGAAATAAATGGGTAACTGAGGTAATAATCTGTAAATCTCAATGTGATTTACACAAATGAAAATTAGTAGTGTTACTCTTATTCTATTAATTTAGAACTAGAATCAAGAAATGTCTTTGTTTCTGTAACTCATAGAATTATACTCAGAAGCTTTCATGGAAGGGGATTTCTAGAAAAAGAAAGTAGATAGACAATAATGGAAACTTGAATCACTCTGAATAATCTATTCATAATCTTTCATGAGGAAAAGCTGTCCACCAGTGAGCCAGTAGGTTTTGAGACTAAGCTCTGGAAGAGCAATATAAGCAATAAAATTTTTAAAAATTCTAAAAGCAAAAAACATCAAATTGGGGGCCTGGCAGACTTTGTTCATAGAGCATGTGACTCTTTTTTTTTTTTTAAGTTTATTATTTAAGAGAGAGACTGAGAGAGAGAGACAGAGAGAGAGAGAGAGAGAGAATCCCAAGCAGGCTCCAAGCTCAGTGCTGACAATCAGGAGATCATGACCTGAGCTGAAATCAAAAGTCTGATGCTGAGCCACCCAGGCACCCCAAGCATGTGACTCTTGATCTCAGGGTCTTAAGTTCAAGCTCCACTTTGG